TATTAATAAGTATTTTGATGAATATTTATTAATGTAATTTTTTATTAAATTTGTCATTTTCTTATTTTTTTGTTTTTATTCAATTTCTTGTGATTTTTTATCAGTAATTCCCGATAATATTAATTCAATTTGTCCTTTTCGTGTGATTATCATTATTATTGATCATTTTTATTCATTTTCTTTTTATCATTCCTGATTTTTAATGATTTTTATCAATAATTCCTGATTATTTTCATTCGATTTTTCCTGTTTTTATTTTTATCATCAATTCCTCATTATCTTTTATCATCAGTTCTTGATTATATTTTTTATTTATCATCAATTCCTCATTTTTATTCAATTTGACCTTTTTCTTGTGTTCATTATCTTTATCATTGATTATTTTCATTATTATTAATAATTTTATTAATAATAATTACTATTAATATTATTATTAATAAAATAATATTGAAATTAAGTATGTCATCAATATTATTCATTTCATTAATAATAATTATCAATATTATTAATAAAATAATAATGAAAAAAAATTAATTAATTATTAATAATTTTATTAATAATAATTAATATTAATATTATTATTAATAAAATGATATTGAAAATTAATTATTTTATTAATTATTAATAATTTTATTAATACTAATTAATATTAATATTGTTATTAATAAAATAATAATGAAAATTAATCATTTAATTAATTATTAATAATTTTTTAGACTTTATTGAGTGACGAGGCCGAAGGGTCTGGTTTCGGATCGTCTGGCTATGGCCCTGGCTTCGGTTTGTCAGGCTGGCTTGGCTCCGGTTCAGGCAACGCGTTCGGGTCCGGCAACGAAGTCGATGTGGACGCGTTCGGACGAGAGAAGAAGAAGAAGAAGGAGGAAAAAGGTGAGAAAAAGGGAGGGAGAGAGGGAGAGAGAGAGAGAGAATGAATGAGAGGAATGGAGAGAGAGGAATAGAGAGAGAGACTGAGAGAAAGAGAAAGAGAGAGAGAGAAAAGGAAAGAGAAAGAGAGGCAGAGAGAAATGGAAAGAGAGGCAGAGAGAAAGAGAAAGAGAGGCAGAGAGAAAGAGAAAGAGAGGCAGAGAGAAAGAGAAAGAGAGGCAGAGAGAAAGAGAAAGAGAGGCAGAGAGAAATGAAGAGAGGCAGAGAGAAAGGGAAAGAGATGCAGAGAGGCAGAGAGAAATGGAAAGAGAGGCAGAGAGAAATGGAAAGAGAGGCAGAGAGAAAGGGAAAGAGAAAGAGAGGCAGAGAGAAATGGAAAGAGAGGCAGAGAGAAAGGGAAAGAGAGGCAGAGAGAAAGGGAAAGAGAGGCAGAGAGAAAGAGAAAGAGAGGCAGAGAGAAATGGAAAGAGAGGCAGAGAGAAATGGAAAGAGAGGCAGAGAGAAAGGGAAAGAGAGGCAGAGAGAAAGGGAAAGAGAGGCAGAGAGAAAGGGAAAGAGATGCAGAGAGAAAGAGAAAGAGAGACTGAGAGAAAGAGAAAGAGAGACTGAGAGAAAGAGAAAGAGAGACTGAGAGAAAGGGAAAGAGAGACTGAGAGAAAGGGAAAGAGATGCAGAGAGAAAGAGAAAGAGATGCAGAGAGAAAGAGAAAGAGATGCAGAGAGAAAGAGAAAGAGATGCAGAGAGAAAGAGAGAGAGAGAGACTTAGAGAAAGAGAGAGAGAGAGACTTAGAGAAAGAGAGAGAGAGAGACTTAGAGAAAGAGAGAGAGAGAGACTTAGAGAAAGAGAAAAAGAGAGAGAAAGAGAAAGAGACAAAGAGAGAGAAAGAGAAAGAGAAAAAGAGAGAGAAAGAGAAAGAGAGAGCATGTTATATCACTGTTACATTATCTCTAAAATTTACATAGCCACAATTTTTTACTATATCAATATACTTTAAAATGTTGCATAATAATCGTTATATATTACATCATATATTTAAAAACGTCCTTAAAAATTCACTATATTTTATTAATAAATTTGCATATTTATAAATTTCATATAATTGCTACATTTTGAAATATTATTTAATATATTTAAATTATTTTAAAAATCACTATTATTATCTACGTTATATGGAAATATTCTCAAATTTGCATATTTATAAAACTTTTAGATTTTAAAAGTTGCATACTTATAGAATATCACATAATATATTCTTGAAATTTGCATATTATAGATAAAAATAAGTATATCATGTTCTTAAAATACAATATTTCTACTTAATTAATTTGCATATTAGTCATAGATTATTGCATAATGTTGCATAAAAATTTGCATATTACTCATAGATTATTGCATAATGTTGCATAAAAAATTGCATATTAGTCATAGATTATTGCATAATGTTGCATAAAAAATTGCATATTAGTCATAGATTATTGCATAATGTTGCATAAAAATTTGCATATTAGTCATAGATTATTGCATAATGTTGCATAAAAAATTGCATATTAGTCATAGATTATTGCATAATTATCAAAATTTGTTTGATACCCTTAAAAGTTTACTATGTCAAATTCGCATACTTTTAAACAAATTTGCATAGATTTTAATCAAATTTGCATAAATTTTAAACAAATTTGCATAAATTTTAATGAAATTTGCATAAAACATTAATCAAATATACATAATTTTTTTTTATCAAATGTTGCATAAATTTTTATCAAATTTGCATAAATTTTAATGAAATGTTGCATAAATTTTAATGAAATGTTGCATAATTTTTTATCAAATTTGCATAAATTTTAATGAAATGTTGCATGAATTTTAATCAAATTTGCATAAATTTTTATCAAATATACATAAAACTTTAATCAAATGTTGCATAAAATTTTAATCCAATTTGCATAAAATTCTGATCAAATGTTGCATAGTTTTAATCAAATTTGCATAATTCTTTAAAAATCAATTTTGTATAGTTTTGATAACATTTGCATAAAATTTTTATCAAATTTGCATAAAATTCACAAAGTTTATTCATAAAATATATATTTTTTATTTATCGATTTCTTTCTTTCTTTATTCGTCTGATTATCCGTTTTTTATCTATTTATTCAATTATCAGATTTTTCTATTTATTTTTCCTGTTCTTTCTTTCTCTCTCTCTTTCTCCTTCTTTATTATCCCCCCTTTTTTATTTCCTTCATTTCTTACTTTCGTATCTTTATTACACTTTTTTATTATATTTTATTCTTCTTTTTACTTTTATATTTCTTCAAATTATTCACCTATTTCCCTCTTCGCAGGAAAACCCAAGAAGAAGGAAGAGGCAGACAAGAAGAAGCAGAAGAAGAAGAAGAAGAAGAAGTGCCAAGAGGAAGATAAACCGAATAAGGGAGATAAGGAAGACGAAGAGAATTGCCTTCAGTCGCTGTTCGGTTGCTGTCCGGATAGGCTGACGGCGGCGTCGGGTCCTTTCCAGAGAGGTAAGAGGGAGAGAAAGATAAAGAGAGGAAGAGGGAGATAAATAGGGGAAGAGGGAGAAAGGGAGATAAATAGAGGGAGAGGGAGAGAGATGGATAAATAGAGGAAGAGAGAGAGATAAATAGAGGAAGAGGGAGAGGGAGAGAGGGAGAGAGAGAGGCTGACGGCGGCGTCGGGTCCTTTCCAGAGAGGTGAGAGGGAGAGAAAGATAAAGAGAGGAAGAGGGAGAAAGGAAGATAAATAGGGGAAGAGGGAGAAATTGAGATAAAAAGAGGAAGAGGGAGAAATTGAGATAAAAAGAGGAAGAGGGAGAGAAAGAGATAAATAGAGGAAGAGAGAGAGAGGAAGGGAGGCTGACGGCGGCGTCGGGTCCCTTCCAGAGAGGTGAGAGGGAGAGAAAGATAAAGAGAGGAAGAGGGAGAGAAAGATAAAGAGAGGAAGAGGGAGAGGGAGATAAATAGGGGAAGAGGGAGAAATAGTGATAAAAAGAGGAAGAGGGAGAAATTGAGATAAATAGGGGAGGAGGGAGAGAGAGAGGAAGGGAGGCTGACGGCGGCGTCGGGTCCTTTCCAGAGAGGTGAGAGGGAGAGAAAGATAAAGAGAGGAAGAGGGAGAGGGGGATAAATAGGGGAAGAGGGAGAAGGGAAGATAAATAGGGGAAGAGGGAGAGAAAGAGATAAATAGAGGAAGAGAGAGAGAGAGAGGAAGGGAGGCTGACGGCGGCGTCGGGTCCTTTCCAGAGAGGTAAGAGGGAGAGAAAGATAAAGAGAGGAAGAGGGAGAGGGGGATAAATAGGGGAAGAGGGAGAAAGGGAGATAAATAGAGGGAGAGGGAGAGAGATGGATAAACAGAGGAAGAGAGAGAGATAAATAGAGGAAGAGGGAGAGAGAGAGGAAGGGAGGCTGACGGCGGCGTCGGGTCCTTTCCAGAGAGGTAAGAGGGAGAGAAAGATAAAGAGAGGAAGAGGGAGAGGGGGATAAATAGGGGAAGAGGGAGAAAGGGAGATAAATAGAGGGAGAGGGAGAGAGATGGATAAACAGAGGAAGAGAGAGAGATAAATAGAGGAAGAGGGAGAGAGAGAGGAAGGGAGGCTGACGGCGGCGTCGGGGTCCTTTCCAGAGAGGTAAGAGGGAGAGAAAGATAAAGAGAGGAAGAGGGAGAGGGGGATAAATAGGGGAAGAGGGAGAAAGGGAGATAAATAGAGGGAGAGGGAGAGAGAATGATAAATAGAGGGAGAGGGAGAGAGGGGGATAAATAGAGGAAGAGGGAGAAATAGAAAAGGGGAAGAGAAGGAGAGAGAGATAAATAGAGGAAGAGAGGGAGATGGATGAATAGAGGAAGAGAGAGAGAAAGAGAGAGAGAGAGAGGTAGATAAACAGAGAAAGAGAGAAGTAGATAAATAGAGAAAGAGAGAGGGAGAGAGAAAGCGATGAATAAAGGAAGATGGAGAGAGAGGAGAGAAAGAGGAAGAAGGGAGAAGGAGAAAAGGAGAGAAAGGGGAAGGAGAGAGAGAAAAAGATAGGGAGAGGAAGAGGGAGAGATGAATAAATAGAGGGAGAGGGAGAGATGAATAAATAGAGGGAGAGGGAGAGAT